GCGGCGCGGCTCAGCGGCGGCCCGGCCGCTCCTCCATGCCGCGGCCACGGCGGCGGCCACGCCCCTTCGTCCCGACCACGCCTCCGCGCTATTGGGCGGCAGCGGGCCACCTGCCAATGGGATGCGCGGAGAGCGGCGGGGGACCCGCCCCACGCGGGAGGGGATTGGTCAAGCCGTCGGGAGGGGGCTGTCTGTCAGGACTTGACCCCGCCCGCGGCGCTCCAGCGAGGGGGCGGGGCCACGAGAGCAGAGGGGCGGGGCCTGGGCTGGCGGTGGAACTGGGCCCGTACTGGGGCTGTACTGGGATTGTACTAAGACGGCACTGGGGCTGTACTGGGATTGTACTGAGACGGCACTGGGGCTCCAGGTTGCCTGGGTGTGTGCACACTGGGACTGCAGGAGGGCAGCACTGGGGCTGAACTGGGCACACACTGGGAGGATCCGTTTCCCCTGGGGGGGGGGGGACACTTGGCAGCCAAGGGCAGCACACCCCGAACCAGCCCCAGCCCACCCAGCCTTCAGCCCAGACTGGTCAAACTGGTGTCCCGCCCTCTAAAAACAAAGGGCAGAGGGAGGGACGAGGCGCTGGGTGACAGGGGGGACCCGCAGGGACCTGCCCGGGGTGAATCCCGCTGGGCTCCCTCCCTCCTCCACCCGCTTCCCACCGTCCCCAGGCTCCATCCCCAGAGCTGCCGGGCACCAAACGCACCCAAAACTCACTCCATTCGGCACCAACTCAACCCTTCTCCTGATTTTTCTGGACCTCGGGGGTCCCCCCCACTGCAGGGGAAGGCTCCTAGTAGCAGCGGGGTTGTGCTTGATACAGACACTTATCCCTCGTATTTAGATGGAAAGGGATGGACAAGGTTCCACACGAGGTGTTTCTGGAAGGTTTCCTTTCTGGCTGGGGCAGAAATGCCCCCCAGGGCTCAGCCAGGGATTGAGGGGGCACTGGTGGGACTGGGGGGCTCTGGGGAGGCTCCCCTCACCGAGCACATCTGGAGAGGAACAGCTGGCTGACCTTCAGCCCAGTCCCATCACGTTTGGGGCCCTCACCGGATGCAAAACTATTACTTCTCCATTTCGGAGCCGATATCAAAAAAAAAAACAAAAACAAAACCACCCAACAAACTGCCAAGGAAGTTCTGGAAAACACCACTGGGTGCCTGGTTTTGTTTTCTCCAGACTGTAGAAAGGTCTGGGTGGGAAGGGACCTTTAAAGGTCACCTCGTCCAACCCCCCTGCCAACGAGATCGGGTTGTACTAATCATCTACTTTTTAAAAGCAAAAGGGAAGTCATTCTGGCACCTTCCTGCAGGGACCTGTCCTCCCAAACCGCAGCAGGGACAGGTGACACATGGGCACAGCTGGCCACTGCAGTGGCTGAGGGGGACCACTGGCCACCTGGGCTGGGCCAGTGCCAGCCACCTTCCCTGCGGCATGAGGGAGACAGGGGGAGGCTGCCGGCTCTTCCCTCCCGCTCCATCCCTCTCTCTGTAAACAGGATGTTCCCACTAAAATAGAAATATAATGTATTAATAAATCCATGGCTTTGGGTTGCCCCAAAAAGACCCAAACCACAGACACCCGCCTCTCCCTCAGCACCCAAATCTCTGTCCATGGACTTTGCTCTGACCAATGGAACAGGAATAATCAAAAAATTCAAACAAAACCCTTTTCTTGCAACCTTTTCCAGAAAATAACAGGGTTTCCTACAATAAATGGCTTCAATCACAAACTCCAGTTTATCTCCCCGCCACCCGAGTGCCCTGAAGTCAGGCACATCTCCACCAAAAACCACCCTAACACAGGAGGAAGAGGAGCCGGGGCAGAGGATCCTGGAGCCACCTGTTTATTAACCAGCTCTGGGGCTGGAGAGCAGCAGCACAAAGCCCTTCAGCCCAGGGACCCGGAGCTCCAGTATCGTCAAGAACAGCCCCGGAGGCTCCCGGGGAGGGTAAATTTCCAAGTCAGGGTCAGGGCAAGAGGCTCTTGCAAATGGATCAGAGACAGAGAAAGAACAAGGGGCTTAATAAGTAAGTTTTCAATTAGAAAGGGGTTAAATGAAGCAGCAAGCACTGCAGCCAGCCAGACAATGGGCTCGGTCAGCGTAAATCCCTCAAAGATGGATCTAGACTAAGCTGGGCATGACCTCTGTGTCACTTCCCCAGGGAATTTGAGGGAGCCGGCACTCGAGCAAAGCACGGATCACTAACACACTGCTGCAATTACACACTAGGACACTACATTTACACATTTCAGGGCTCTACCAACTCCTCCCCCCTCCCACCAGCCACCCAAACACGGGGTTCAGAGTCCCTCTTGTCAAACCAGAGCGGGCAGGCGGTGGTAGTAGCCCCTAAAAGGCTGGAGGATTCGAAAGGTTGGGGTCACACAAGTGGCAACACAGCCATCTCTTGTCTCCAGGCTCCAAGGCTCCTACTTCTTCCTGCCACCTCTTTCTTTGAGGGCCAGGTGAATGAGAGAGCCGCTTGTCATGTTGTAATACGCCAGGGAGTTCGAATCCTTGATGAAGATGCCCTGAGGGGAGGAGAAAAGGAAAAATCAAACCCAGTCAGAGCAGAAATCTGAACGGTCCCTTCCCACACACTGATGGAGCCCTCCTGGCCCTACTCTCAGAACAGGGGGACAACAGAACATTGCTGGCTTTGAAAAACCCCGGAGATGCCAGTATCTCAGAAGGCGGGCACTGGAGGAGCTGGGTATTTATTGATATATGATATTTATTGATATATGGATATTTATTGATATATGATAAAAATCAGTGAGGCTTCCTTTCTCGCTAAGGGTTAACACATTATCTGCCCACAGATGAGCTCCGAGTTCACTGCTTAGGCAGCAGGTTCTGCCTCTGCACACGCATGACTGGGAACAAGTTATTAAAAAGGAACAGTGCCTTCTTAACAGCTCCAGTCTCACGAGGAAGAGAAAGAGAGATCCCTTCCCTTCCATCTTTTAGATTCAAGGTACTCTCGCCCACCTTCCAGAGCACGCAGTAGCCATGTGTCATGTATTTCCACATCAAAACCCCTTGATAAAATAACAGGCTGATTTCAGAGAAAGCCGTGAAGCTGAGAGGACTCATCTGCAGCAGTGACAACACGAAGATCCACTG